CTCTACAACTACCTGAAAGGAGGTTGTAGTGAGGTGGGTGTCGGTCTCTTCTCCCAAGTAACTAGTGATAGGACGAGAGGAAATGGCCTCAGGTTGCACCATGGGAGGTTTAGATTGGACGTGAGGAAAAATTTCTTTACTGAAAGAGTGGTTAAACCTTGGACCAGGCTGCCCAGGGAAGTGGTGGAGTCCCCATCCCTGGAGGTATTTAAAAGACATGTAGATGAGGCGCTTAGGGACATGGTTTAGTGGGCATGGTGGTGTTGGGGTGATGGTTGGACTCGATGATCTTAGAGGTCTTTTCCAACCTTAATGTTTCTATGATTCTATGATTCTTGCTAGTCTATGGTTAGGTAATCTGGGTGGGAGCTGTGGGTGCTGAGAAAGGATAGGGCTTGTAAAGCACTGCAGTCACTTAGCTTGGATTCTGCAAAAGGAATTACATACTGGTAGTATTACTTGGAGTTTTAAAAATGTCTTATAACTTTCAGAATCTAGGCTTTGTTTATTTTCCTGTTTTGTCTACGTGCTACTACACATAAATCTTTATTCTTAAAGATGTCTTGTGACTTACTGTGTTTTTTATTTATTACCCCTAGGAATGGGAGACTTTTACAGGTGTGATCATTGGAGATACCGTAAGAAAATCAGTAAGCTATATTTATTTATGTATTTTGAAATAAGGAACATTTACTTAAATCCTGAAAAGTTAAGGTTGTATTCTTACTATATTGTTTGATTAATTGTATTCATACATGAAAGGAACAGATAACTTCTCACATAGAAATATAAATATTATAAAACCTTTTGAACGTGGCAACTTATTTTCTAATTTCATAACTTTTTGCCTTTTGATGCCTTTTTTTTTTTTCTTTCTGTTACCAGGATTACACTTTGTTTTTTCAGTGGTATATTTGAGAAGGTTTTAAGCACACTTCTGTAACTAAAATCAGTGTTTCTGAATCCCTCTTTCTCCCAGTATCATATATGAGTGGTACTTTTTGTATGGATTGAGGGGATTGTCCACACACTTTGCTAATTTTGCATGCTTTTTTCCTCAGCCTCAGAGTTCTGCATCTGGAGATGTATTTATATATTTTCCTAGGTGACAGAACTAGCTTAAGAAGCTTCTGTTCCATGTCTGACCAATCATATTGTAGTTTACTATGTGTCCCTCAATTCTATTGAACCTGTATACTTTCAAAATAACCTTCCAGTAGAAAATGGTAGAGAAAAAAGTTAAGCTTTCCATAGTCTTATCTATTATAGCCCTTCTCAAATATTTTGACAAAAGTTTTGAAAGGTGTTTTTTAGGAAACATGAGCCCAGTCAGGAATCATGAGCTCAGTCTTTGCCTTTTCTGTTGCTAATCTCTTCTTTCATTCAGGGTCAGTGTCGTGGTTTAACCTCAGTCGGCAACTAAGTACCACACAGCTGCTCGCTCACTTGCCCTACAATGGGATGGGGGAGAGAGTCGGAAGGGTAAAAGGGAGAAAACTCGTGGGTTGAGATCAAGACAGTTTAATAGGGAAAGCAAAAGCCGCACATGCAAGCAAAGCAAAACAAGGAATTCATTCCCTACTTCCCATCAGCAGGCAGGTGTTCAGCCACCTCCAGGAAAGCAGGGCTCCATCACGCGTAACGGTTACTTGGGAAGACAAACGCCATCATTCCGAACGTCCCCCCCTTCCTTCTTCTTCCCCCAGTTTATATGCTGAGTACGACGTCCCATGGAATATGGAATATCCCTTTGGTCAGTTGGGGTCAGCTGTCCTGGCTGTGCCCCCCCCCCGCCCCCCGCCCCGTGCACCTGCAGCCTTCTCAGTCGGTAGAGCGCTGAAAAAGGAAAAAGTCCTTGACTAGTGTAAGCACTACCTAGCAACAACTAAAACATCGGTGTGGTATCAACATTGTTCTCACCCTAAATCCAAAACACAGCACTGTACCAGCTACTAGGAAGGAAATTAACTCTATCCCTGCCGAAACCAGGACAGTCAGGCTAGCTCATTTCCATCAGGCTTAGCTGCAGTTTTCATCATTCCCAATTACTTTTAACCTTTAGCCTTGTTTAGATATCTGTCAGGGTATCTCATACATCCAGTGGTAGAAGACAATGACCAGTGTGAGTACCTCGTTTTTAGAATATCCATGACATCAACCGTGTTCACCTGCATGCTGGCAGAAGTGGCAAGTCACTTAAAATATAACGTATTACTCAGATTTTCTTACTTAGGCAGCTGGTTGCTAAAAAGGTCCTTAAATTCTCAGTTTCTTTACCCCTTAGATGACTCTACATGTTTTGCATTTCTGTTTGAACATAGAAGTCCCTCTTCATCTCTATGGAGTCTTTATGATTCAATTAGATGACAGTGAACTTGATGAAAGTCAAGTATTTTCTTGTACTAGGTCATTTTCAAGCTATGTGAGATCTGATTGTATAATGGATTTTTACACTATTCCTACCTCTACCCCACCTAACACAGAACCCATAGATTTTGGAGAGATTGTGGACACACATGGTTTAACCCCAATTCTAACTGGAATATATATTGCAGACCCCTTTCAAGTTTATTCCTAGAATTGCTTCTGAGTTTCCTACTTTTGTTCGTTCTCTGACTTCATAACTTGTGGCTGAGCTATCCTTTTGCAATAAAGCTTTCCTTTTTTCTGCTGAACATTTAAGATTACTCTTAAAGTTGCTCAATGGTTGAGAGGTACATTTCCATACAGAGGCTGTCAGACTGGTTAATGGGTACTGTAAGATTTTTTATAAAAAATGATATGGTGAATACAGAGATTCCACTGGAGCTTAAGGTATGTTGTTCATCCTTAGAATTTCCTCCATCCCCAACATCTAAGGAGCAGAAACATAGAGCTGTGGCCAAACTTTACCAGTGCAGAGATATCCAGAAGTGATGTTTTGCCTAGTGAATTACACCAGAATTACCCTTTGTGTGAAGAACCATCCTCTTCATGACTGTGAATATGTGCAATGGAATTATTTTTTGAAGTCAGTTGCTCAGAGTGCATATGCAGATAGCAAATCATTTGGGTCACTTGTTTTTAATGGAAAAGAAAACTACTTAGAGTTGAGCGTGTCATACAGATACTCTAAATGATAATATATTTTCAGGCTCAAGTAGTTAAGCAAACGTTAATGTGAACAGTATATCTCAAATTACTGGTAGATTTGTTTTGTTATGCCATTTATGAACTTAGCAAAAGACCACAGAAAGATTCCTGTTATGAATGCTATTTTTATTAAAAACATAGGTTTCACAATCTTATTACTGAATATAGTGTTTCACAAAAATTTGTGTAACTTATGTATGTAACATGTAATTTCCTTCAATAAGGATTCACAAAGAAGTGTTCGTGACCAGATTCCTTCTTGGATAGAACAGGACCGAGCCTGGGCAGTAGCATCTTTGAAGGTATACATCATGTGGTGGGTTGAATTTAGCTTAAAAAACCTTTGGTTTTAGCAAATAGTAATTTGGACTTGAATACTCAAATATGTATTTGTCAGATGAAAATATTTTGTTATTTTTAGACTGTTTATTATATCTTCCAGAAACCATGGCTGAATATATACCTATTTGAAAAAAAGCCCTATATTTTTAAAATTTAATCTCATTTTTCTGAACCTGTTAATGTACATCTCTACCCCATTTAACAATGAATTTCAATGCATGTGAATGAACCTATCATCTTACTTAGATTAGAAAATATTGTAAGCCTACCCAAGGTACTACAATTTCTATAGACAGAAAAATATACAGAGGAAAAATTGCAAAGAATATTTAAGTTGCAGGTTTCTCTTATGTAATGACTTTCACAAACCACTTTGTACTGTATTAAAAAACATAAACTGTTAATTGGGAAACTAGTTTTCTACTTACCAGATTTCCATGCACACCTTTAAAGGTGTTTCGGAGTTTGTTATTGCTCAGATCAAGTAATTTCAAACTAAAACAAAAAACACTTTCTTGCTTTGATTCATCCCACAACAATCAATGTTGAAGTCCTTTGATCCTGAAGGGAACTAAATGAAAATACTAGTCCTTGAAATTCTGTCTTAGGCTCTTCTCCTCCTGCATGTAGCTCAGCAGCAAGAAGGAAAATCTTGACCGGTCTTTGGCAAGGACTTTTGCTGCTAAATCCGGAGTTCATTATTTTTCATTTCTCTTCACCAGGGATCAGGAACAATTGCAATAATGGTGTGGCAAGCATGATTGTTAGGGGTTTAAAAAAACAAACCAACAAACAAACAGAAAGTGAGTAACTAGGTGAATCAGTAGCATGTACTGATAGAAAAAGAACCTGGTTATGATTAAAGGAAAGGACTACAATTGGGTAGAGCCCAAAGTTTAAAAACAAAGAACCTAGAAGTTTAAAAACAAAAGTATCGAGCAAATACAGACTTAGCATTTCCAGGGAATAGGTAAACAAATGGTTGATTTTAAAACCTACCCTTTTGTTCTTTAACTCTGAGCATAAAATTGAATTATGTGATATGCACAAGTATTTACAGGTTTAGGGTCATAGTGGTATTTGTAAATTAATTAAAATATACAGTGTCCAAATGGCTATTCTTCTTTATTGTTAAATATGCATGATTTGTTTTGTAGATTTCTCTTCCAGGTCTCTATCAGACACTTTGCTTTGAAGATGAAGGTCTGTGGCACACTTTTTCTCAGAGCTCTGTGTGTGAACAAGACTTTCCATCTACTGTAGTAAAAAGAATTTCCTTATTTCAGCAGGTAATCTTTCCATATTAAATTATTTAAAAATAATTGTGAGTTCAGCATTGAAAGTTTTACATCTTGGAAATTTAGGCTTCAGGCTTGGCTGAATTATAAGCAGTGACATTATCTACATTGTCTTACAGCTTAACTAGTTTATTTAGTCTAAGGATTTTTTTTTTCTATAATACATATTTAGTTCTCTCTTATCTGAGTCTTTTTTATGTTGGCGTATTGGCTGCAACTGAGCATAACCGGTAAGGTAACAAGCTCTTTATTAATATTCACAGAATTAATTTTATGAATAGGTATTAAAAGTCTTTCATTGTTGCTTTATTATTGCAGAATTTGTCAGCTTGTTGAGCATCATTAATTTAGTTCATCGTTACATGTGCAAACTCGCACATCTGACTGAAAAGCACAAAACACAGTAGCAGCCACTGCTTTTTGGAATAGTAGTCATGAAATACTACTCTTCCTGAAAGCTTGGTGATTAAAGAGCTCACCAAGAATGTTGGAGAGGCAGGTTCCTTCCTCCACCCAGGGATCCTTCTCCTCTGGAAGAGAAAAATGTCATCCCTCTTGTGTTTATGGAAGAAAGGGTGTCATTACTTACTTTCAAATGATGCTGTGATTTTTCATTTGAAGTCACTTCATATAAAATGAAGGCCCACCCAAAGAAGGGATGAGGTATAAGACAATGTAGTTTCATGCTGGTTGGCTCTTAGGGGTTTTCTATTTGGAGCTTTTCTGGAGGAGGAGAATTTCTAAAATAGCATGTACAGAATTTCGGAACAAACCATTTTGCAGAGGAATTTGTCTGAGTCATGTTTGATTTGATGAAATGCAGAAAAGCAGTTCTTATGTGTGCAATGTATTGTCATAAAAATTCTGCATTTATAGGAAAATAAATCTGGAATGATCAGCATATTATGTATCTAGTTCCTTGCATAGAAAGTATTAAGAATGTTTCTGTTGACAAAATATATGGAAACTACCTGGTTAGATTTATATGCCACTCATAAGTTAGTTTCTTTCAAACTGTATGTTAAACTTAAAAATAGTGCAGTAACACTTAGTGTTAATCTCAAGCTTAAAAGGTAGTACTTTCTTAAAAATTTAATGAAGTTAAATTTTTCCTCCAAAACTAACAACAGATATTCCAGACTTGGAAACTGGAATGTGATGGTAGGTTCAGCATTGTGGCTTACAGGTCTGCAAGTAAGGGGGTGGAAGAAGGGGTGGTGATTTTAATAAATCATTTCTACTGAAGTTGCATTAGTTGCCTGCACTGAACATTTGCAGGAAGTTAACTGAAAGAGAGGTAGCTGGTGGGGAAACTGCTATTTTAATTTGTATCTGAATTGATTAGCTGTTCATGTTCTGTAGTCTTTTGAAGAATAGTAAAAACATCTGCCTAACTAGGAGGTCTGAAAGAATGTCTCAGAAAAAAAAGTTAGATGTAAAACTCTAAAGGTGTGCTTAAACAAAGGAAATTATTTCAAAACTGATTATTCTACTGTATTACTGCACTGAAATCAGAAACATTAGTATTCCAGTTAGGAAGTTACTGCCTAAATACATGTATAGAATTTAGATTACCAGTATAAAGCTATGTTAGCTTTCTGTCGTTCTAGCTACCCACATAGCTACCTTTTTTCTAAAACATTGTAGAAAAAGTTCCAGCTTAAAAATAGACATTAGACGTAGATCTATCTTCTGATTCTATTAATAGGACAAGCTACTTACAAAAGAACAATTACATTAGATTATCTTGGAAAGGAATGATCAGATAGCTCTATATATTCAGAGAATATAACTTTTTCTAAAGAGAAGTTTAAAGAATTCAGCCTTCTTAGAAGAGTCTTGCTTTTTAAATTGTCACAATATACTTTTATAAACTCATCTCACCTGAATATATTTTATTTTAAGGTACTTGTGGTCCAGGCTGTCAGACCAGACAGGCTACAGAGTGCCATGGCTCTTTTTGCATCTAAAACCCTAGGTAAGTTAATTTTTCACCAAAATGTTTCCACACAACAATTAAATATTATTTTTTGTCCTAAGTTTCTCTTTTATTTTATAGTTCTTATGGAATCCCTAAGTTTTAGGATTTGAAAATGGATTTGCTGATTTTGTTCTTGTAAAGTATTGTTAAAAAGCGCTTTTAAAATGGTTTGGTTTATGCTGCATAGTGATTTAAAATATAACAAAAGATCTGTCAGATTCTTTGAATGAATTCTTGAACACTGGAGTAATTAAGAAAGGAGGATAGCTGGTTTTCTGTTAGTTTTACATTGCAGCATTTTCCTTAAGACACAAATTTCCCAAAAAGATTATTTCATTTAATGTGTAGTTTAACACTGTAGTTTTAAAAGTCACCCAGTGCATTACATAGGGCCAAGGCAGAATTTGTTGTTTTTAATGTGGTACAGTGTCCCACATTAGTGGGATTAACAGAAGGGAAAGGATCTAGATTGTAAAGACCTGAAATGTAGGTGGCAAAAGTTGTTTTTAATGTGGTAGAAAATTAACCTGGAAAATTGACTCATAGGCTGCCGAGGTAATGTGGCTGGACTTACATTTCCAGTACTTGTGCAGATTTGCAGTTTGAATGATCTTGAGATGGGCAATTTTGCATGATAATGCAATAGATGAGTTACATATAAAAAACAATGGCTCTGGTAATTTTAAGTTCTTGAAATACGTTTCATTTTTTATTAGTATAAGATTAGGTATGAGTTTAGGTCTCTGATTCTTACATTTCTAATGGCATTTGTGTGAGAGTTTATCTGACTCCCTGTTTATGCTCTGTCTGTGGGCATTATTTATTGGTCAAAATTCATTCCATGTCTGCCACCAAGGCCAGTATTTTCAGGAGTAAGGTTAGCCTGCTCTGTCAAACATTGTTAGTAGATAGAGAGGGTGCTTTCATCATGGTACAGGTCCCACGCTGACAATGTCCCTGCCTGTTGGAATCAGATGACAAGTGCAATCTGCAGTATGTGCGTCTCAAAGCCCAGCAGAGACCTGAATTCAGAGTAACTTTATTCACCCACTTACTGTCTTCCAAACCCTAATGTATTACATAAATTGGTTAGGTCTATCTTGATGCCAGTTCCTTGAAGGCGTTCCACAAGGGAATGGTTTTTGTTGAATGAAACTACAGCCTCACTGAGGAAGGCAGAATACCATTGACTCCATTTGTAGGCAAGGTTTCATCCGCAGATTTTTCATGCATATCAGTGAGATTTTATTTTGAGATTATGTCATAAATCATTATTAGCGTTTTCCAACTAATAACAGCAGTCACGCTTGTATGAATATTTTCTTCATTTTTTTTTCCTATCATGTCTTTTTCAGGGTCCTTGCCCTGAAAATTCTTAAACAGTTTCACTTAGTTCAAAAGGGAACTGTTAAGTTTCCAATCTCCTTTGGCTGTTTTCCTGTGAGAAAAATGAGTTCCAGAAGAGCTGTAATAGCCTACAAGAAAGCCTTCCACTTCTGCTTTATCCAGATATGGTTTTTTTTCCTTTTTTCATCTTTTACATATATTTTTAAATTTATGGATGAAGGGGGATTAAAATAATTTCTTTTGAAGATAAAGTTCATAAGAATTTTCTATAAATGTATTTTGTGGGCACCCAAATTATGCTTATTTATTTTACATGCTATACTGAAATGCAACATGTTAGCAAAAATCATATTGACAGTGTACTTCCAAATCATTCCATATCACTCATTGAGTTGGTTTTTTTTCATATCTGCTTTAACTTAGTTTTTTGAGTCTGGCTACATCAGAAATAGTATTTAAAGAGGCTTGATTTTAATTACCTACATTTTCATATCCTTCAAAAAAGCAGTAGAGATGCAAAGAAAGAAAATCAGTGCAGGCTAAACAAGTCTGTATTTTATTCCCACAGACCCATTTTCTATAAAGTAGACCAGAGCTCTCATGGTCACATTGCACATAGGCCAAAATAAAATTACTTGCCAACATTAAAAAAAATAACCTCTCCTGCTTTCTGTATTGGAATTGTGAATAGTAATAATACCTTTACTAATAGTTTTGTACATTGTTTCTCTGTGTACAGATCACCAACAGAAGGAATTTTAACAAGCACTTTCAGTTCAAGTTCCAGCTGCTCTAAATTGGTTTAATTGCATTGACTTTAGTACAGAAGTTTTGTGAAAAGTTGTTCATTGATTTTATGGAAGCTTCATCAGTTTATAAAAAATGTGAAGTTTGCATCCTGTGCCAAACTTTGTATTTATATGTCAGGTCTTTCTTTTTTCCCCTTTGATTTCCCCCACACACTTTAGATGTTTTCTGAAAAGTTATTTGCTCTCACATATGCTTTTTCTTCCCATGTCAGGATGTCAGTTCAGATAGTAAAATTTAAGAAATTCTGTCAGAACGGAACATGGTGGCAGAAAAGTGTCAGGAATTCCCAGTCTGACTGCATAGTTATTATCTGGAATATGAGTGCTTATTGATTTACTCTGAAAACACTGGAGTCTTTTTTTTTCAGTTCTCTAAATGTAATCCTGGCTGTAGCTTTAATTCTAATGGCCAGGAATAGACAGGGCTGTACTGTAGTTTTTCTCTATTTCACTTCTGTTGAGCTTCCTTAAAACAAAAAGCACCTTCAGCATAGCTATGCTTTTTCTAAACATTGTGTCCAAATTTCTAAAAGAACAAACTGTTTTATGGAAGAAGACTTACACTGTATTAATTTTCTAAGTGATGCACCTCAAGAGTGCTACAATATATTTGGCTAGGCTGTTACTCATTTACAATTGCACCTCTTTTAAATTAACGTCATTAACATAAATACGTTGTTATAACTTAAGTTGCAGGTGTGCACACATTCATCTATTGCCCAAGCATAGCTTTTTATTCTATTCCTCAGTTAATGCAAGGCCAAGTAGTAGTCCCCAGTTAACACAGAGTTATGTAGGATATCAAAACTCCTAATCGATTAAACTTCTCAGGAATCTGTGTGCCCTCTGCTTGCACTGCTAGAAATAATAATGCAGCCAATAGTCTTTGGTTTTTCTTGATTGTAGAATATTCCATGCACCTGTTTGTAGCAGCAAAGCAGTCCTAGGAACAGGAACTTAAGAATGGTTGAACAAGTGAAGAAGAGAGGTCTGTCTAGCTTGTTACTGTCTTTGTCAATGACAAATAATAAATGTTAAGGCGAGAGTATAAGAACATCACAAGCCTATAGTGAAACCTTTTGCAGTGACCAGTGTTTTATGTCTCCAGGGTTTCTCAACTGGAAGTAATAACACAGTACTTAAAAGACCCAATGGATTTTACTTCTATGACTTTGTATATCTGTTCTGCATTTCCATGTAATAATGAATATCTGCAGCATTGCACGACGCCCATTCCACTGTGTTAATTAGTGGTCAGAAAGATCTCTGTTTTTTGTATCCTTGCTGCCTGCTGACTTCAACAGATATTTTTAGTCCTGTATCTTTCATAGAAATTGAAACAGTAGTGAAGATTTTCAAAATTATTTTCTTCACTGAAATAAAAGTTAATAAAACTTAAAATTTACCTTTCTAAGACCTTACTTTTAATCAAATTTTGATTTAAAATTTGATTTTAAAATTCAATGTCTTTATTGCTTATGTAGATAGTGATTAAGTTCTAATAATGCTTTATGTTATATTTTAATATTTATATTAAATTAATAAGGAAACATTTATATTTTGATACTTCAACAGTGAAATATAGTTACAGTGAATACAACTCAGTAGAGAGGGATTTGATGAGATGAAACTTACTTAAGGCACAAGACAGTGGTTTATAGCCCAAATATCAGAACACATCACAAATAACTCTTCCGTGTGGTCCTCATCCACAAAAAGAAACATTTGATGTTGGATTTTCTAATTATAGGCATGATACTGTCTTCCATTTTCAGCTTGTATTAGCTGAAATAGCTTAGCTATTTCCATTTATTATGTTAGTTAAGGGAATGTTAAATCTGGAGTAGCTTGTATTTGTGAAAAATGTTACTATACGCTCAGTTTGGAGGAATGACTTGAAAGCTAGTATGCTGGGCAGCTTTCATTCAAAGTGTAAGCTTCTTTCAGGCCTTCTGAAAATGCATCCAAATTTGGCCAATACAGATTCATTGCGAAAAAACTTGCAGATGTGTGTCAGACATTTTTGAGATTTTGACAGTTAAGTGTCCCTGAAGAGTCTTAGTTGCTGAGCATGCTTCAGTCCAGTACTGAACAGCCCTACTTTAATTTCAGTGTTATTTTATGGATCTTCTAGGGTTTAGGGCTTACTGGCAGTGAGCGGCAGAACTCATCAAGGGAGCTGCCCATATCAATTGCCTTATGGCCTCAGTTTATATATTTATCTCTGCTTATATTACCTCTACATGCCTAATGAATGTAAAATGAAAATATTTTCCAATATTAGTCTTGTTTAATTCGATTTTTTTAAAGCATTTTGATTGATAGTGATTTTATCTGTTTAGCTGCGTCTGTTAGAGTCTCTGTACAGATAGATGCAGAGAACCCAGACCTCATACTAACCTTTGCCAACCTAACCTGTTATATTCAAATTATATAGTATTCTATGTGGAGATGATAACTCAAGTCTGAAAGCAGACTGTGCCCTCAAGGAAATGTATATTCCATCTTTTACTAGGTGTGGCATAGATGTCACTGATTTCAGCTCTTCTGTCTTGCTTTATGTTGTGATTTCCCATTGCACCTAACACTTCGCTATTTAAGGACCAGTCTAAAGATGCATTGAAAATATGTGGTTAACACTGTTTATGATACACTTATACACATAGCTTTGGGCTTGTGTATAAATGCCTTGCCTATACTAGGTCAACATTCTAAACATTTAAGTTGTATATTAAAACAAACAATAGACTAAAGTAATTGTAGTACCAAGAACTGTGTAAATTCAAAGTCTAATAATTAAGGCTCTGGGGACAATACAGGAGAGAAGTTCTGCATGTGGACATAGACACTGCAATTAGTTTTAGCAAATAGCATAGCTTCTCATATTCTTATATTCCAGCTCTACTTTTTTTTGTATGTTTTCTTGAAGACTACACTCTAAATAAAGACTGCCATTTATATTTGTCAAGCTGGAAGTCCAGGCACTGTTTTGGTGCTTGTGTCTTTTTCATATCAATATATGGTACCTTCTACCTCCATATTGTAAAGATTTTTTTCTCATTTTAGGACTAGTTTTATGGTCTGCATTGAACAGAACTTTGAAAGCCACATGACCTCTAAAGTGGTTAATGAAGCACTCCATCCTGTGTAGTCACTTTATTTCCATAATAATTCTAATTATAGGAATAAAAGAATTATCTCCATCACCTCTGAATTTGAAACGTCTGTATAAAGAAACTCTGGAAATTGAGCCCATCTTGATAATTATTTCTCCTGGTGCTGATCCTTCTCAAGAATTGCAAGAACTTGCCAGTGTTGAAAGAAATACTGAGTGCTACCATCAGGTCAGTCTTAGATAAGCATAATGATTAAAAACCACAATGTGTAAAATTTTACAGTAGTAATATCTGTTTTACCTTGGTCTTTAATGAAGTTAGTACGTAAAAGCACAGTTTGGTGTTTATGTGTTTGTTATTCCCACCTATCTTGCCACTAACTTCTGATTCCATTGGCAAAAAGGGGCTGGAGAAGAGAGACACAATTAGTGATCCTCACAGAAGCAGAATCCACACAAGAGGCATTCCTCCAACTTGGAGAAGGGAAAAATGAGAAGATAGATGGAAGTGAACAAAAGAGACTGAGAATTGTTATATATGCTGAAACATTATCTTTTGTAGTGTGGAATAATTGAAATATGAACAAAACCCACTGAAAACTAGACTTCATAATTTCCTCTGCTTATAGAACTTGCATATTTCTTTCTTCAACAGAAAACATAAATCAGATGTTCAGTGTTTGTGAATACTTCGGTATTTTGTGAAATTCTGTAAAATATTTTGAGAAATTTTACAAGTAAATGTTAACCAATTAATTTTTGATGGGAGTTCCTGAACAGAACTCTTATATTTCAGGTCTTTTTAAAAAAGTGTTTAAGATCGACCATGCGGGAAAGCCCTCAGATTTCAGGAATAGGCATACAACACCAAAATCATTTGCCTAGCCAATATAACAGTTGGTTTTTGTCATGGTATACAACTTCTTCCCTGTTTTTCATTCAACACAAAACTGAACTGGGTGAAGATAATTCCCCTTGAGTAGCCTTTAATCAGGAATTGTACTGTTAAGAAATCACTTTATATTTTCTGTGTCTGTTTCAAAATTGGATCTATGCAGAGGTGTTGAAAACAACTTTTTTTAAGAAGAAATTTACTGTAGCTGTTAAATTCATAGAATAACCTGGGTTGGAAGAGACTTCTGGAGATCATCTACTTCAACCCCCTGCTCAGAGAGGGGAGGTCCCCCATCCAGGGATGGAGATCCCACGATATCTCTGGGCAACTTGTTCCAGTATTTGACCACTCTCACAGGAGAATGTTTTTCCTAATATTGCATCAGTATTTCCCATGTTCCAACTTGTGTGCATTGACTCATGTCCTATCACCATGTGCCTCTGAAAGAGTCTGGCTCTATCTTCTCTGCATTCGTCAATCAGGTAGTTGTAGACAGCAAGAAGGTCTCCTGATGGCTTGGCGAAACAAACTGCCCTGTGTGCCCTGACCATGTTGGTGGTCTGCTCTGGAGTCACTTCAGTATGACCATGTCTGTCTTGTACTGGGGAGCCCAAGACTGGACACAGTACTCCAGATGTGGTCTCACAAGTTCCAAAGAGAGGGGAAGGATCACTTCCCTGGACTTGCTGACTGTTTTTACTAATACAGCCCATGATGGGATTGGCCTTTGTTGCAAGGGCCCGTTGTTGACTCACTTGTTGTCCACTAGGGCCTCCTTTTCTCCAAAGCTCCTTCCTAGGCAGACCCCAGACTGTACTGTTGCATGGGGTAACTCCATCCCAGGTGTAGGACTTTGCATTTGCCTTGTTGAACTTCATGAACTGCCAACCTGTTTCTCCAGCCTGTTCAGGTCATCTGAGTAGCAAACCTGCCTTCCCAGAGTATTGATTGCTCGCCCGACCCCCTTTAGTGTTATCCATTAGTTTGCTGAGAGTGCACCCAGTCATATAACCCAGGTCACTGATGAAGACATTAAACAGAATTTGTCCTAGTACTGATCTCTGAGGGGTACCACTAGTTACTGGCTGCCAGCTGGACTCTGCACCACTGACCATCCTGTGAGCCCAGCAGTCCACCCATTTTTCTGCCTATCTTATTTTTCACTTCTCTAGCCCATATTTCTCCAATTTGGTGATAAGGAGGATATGGGAGACTGTCAAAAGTCTTACTAAAGTTAAGGTATACAACATGTACTGGCACCCCCTTGTCCACAGTGGCAGTCACCTCATCATAGAAAGCAATGAAGTCGGTCAGGCATGAGTTGCCATTGGTAAATCTATATTGGCTGCTCCTTATCACCTCTGTGTTCTTCATGTGTTTAGAAATGGCTTCTAAGATGACTTGCTCCATAACCTTCCCAGGGGCCGAGTGGAGGCTGACCAGCCTGTAATTACCTAGATCTTTCTCCTCCTTGCCCTTCTTGAAGATAAATGTGACATTTTCCTTTTTCATCAGCAAACACCCCAGATCAACATAACCTTTTGAAGATGAGAGCAAGGAGTGACGTTAACTGCCCCCCAGCACACTTGGATGCATCCCATCTCGTCCTGTGGACTTTTTTATTTCTAAGTGTGTTGAGTGATTCCTAAATCTGTCAGTCTCTACTGTGGGTATTGCTTCGCTCCTGCTTGTCAGTTTGGGAGACCTGGGAGGCCTGAGAACAAGCCTCAATAGTGAAACTAAAAGGCTATTGAGTACCTCAGCCTTTTCCATGTGCCTTGTCACTATGTGCCCTGCCCCACCGAGCAATGGGCTCACAGCTATCCTTGGCTTTCCTTGGCTGACAGGAACCTTACAGAACTCAAGAAATGCGAAGTCATGCCCCTAGGAAGGAAGAAACCCTTGCAATGATACAGGCAATGGATTGACTGGCTGGGGAGGACCTCTGCTGAAAAGGCCTGGAGGGTTTTTGTAGATGACAAGACATGAGCCGACATTTTCCTTTTTCATCAGCAAACACCCCAGATCAACATAACCTTTTGAAGATGAGAGCAAGGAGTGACGTTAACTGCCCCCCAGCACACTTGGATGCATCCCATCTCGTCCTGTGGACTTTTTTATTTCTAAGTGTGTTGAGTGATTCCTAAATCTGTCAGTCTCTACTGTGGGTATTGCTTCGCTCCTGCTTGTCAGTTTGGGAGACCTGGGAGGCCTGAGAACAAGCCTCAATAGTGAAACTAAAAGGCTATTGAGTACCTCAGCCTTTTCCATGTGCCTTGTCACTATGTGCCCTGCCCCACCGAGCAATGGGCTCACAGCTATCCTTGGCTTTCCTTGGCTGACAGGAACCTTACAGAACTCAAGAAATGCGAAGTCATGCCCCTAGGAAGGAAGAAACCCTTGCAATGATACAGGCAATGGATTGACTGGCTGGGGAGGACCTCTGCTGAAAAGGCCTGGAGGGTTTTTGTAGATGACAAGCTGGACATGAGCCAGCACTGTGCCCTGCCAACAGAGAAGTCTTTGTGATGTCCTAATAATAGCCTTTCAATACCTACAAGAAGGTCACTGAGAAAATGGATTCAGACTCTTTGCAATCAGGCATGGTGGAAAGAAGCAATGGGCATAAATGGTAATGAGATAGGTTATGGCTGGATGTAAGAAGAAACTTTTTCACCATGAGAACAGTCAAACAGATTTCCCGGTGCAGTCTCCATCCTTGGAGGTTCCCAAGAGTCCACTGGACAAAGCCCTCAGTTCCTGGTCTGATCTTTCATAGCTGGTCCTACTTTGAGCAGGATGTTGGACTAGAGACGTTCCAGGATCCATTCCAACTTAAATTATTCTATGATCCAAGTGGTTTCCTAATATTCCTAATACACAGTACCGATACGCTTTACACCTTTCTGTAAAACAGTATTTCCTTCTGTCATTTGAAATATTCAGGGGAGGGCAGTTGTTATCTAGCTGATCACTGATTAGCATAGAAATGGAAAACATCAAGTTTGATGCTGCTTCTAAATTGAAATTGTTCCTTTCCTGGAATGTGCATTGATGTAATATATTTTTCCTATCAAATTGTAAAGATTTAGATCCTACTGCCAGCTTATCTAACTGTGAATGTTTCAGAATGCATATTTCTTACTCTGCACATGGCTTTTGTGTTTATCTCTAAATATCCTTTATATGTTGGACTTTTAAAATGTAACATGGTATGTTATTTGATTAAGGAGCAGTACTCAAAGCTAAGTCATCTGAATGTTGTCCTACTAATGAGAATATTTTGTTGTTATTTTTTCGTGCACTTTCTCACGCAATTTTAATAGGACGTGGAAGACCAGATTTTTCTTCTCTGTTGAATCATTTCTCATATGGGATAAAGAACAGATGACTAAATTTGTGTGGTGTACTACCATATTGTCTGGTGACTTTCAGTTATCTTCTTTTGGCTATTTTAAATTATTTCAAGATACTATACTCAGTTTTATTTAGGCAAAGGATATCCCTGTATCATCATATAAAGCTAAGGCCCCAAGTTTCTTTGATTCAGTACAGTTTTAGGATAAAAAGACAGGGAGGATTTCTGCTTAAGGGACATTTGATGAAGTCATAATAATCACAATAGTTCTATTTTGCTATAGCGGTAATGCCAAGACAAGACTTTTCAGATTGGCTAAGACCACTTTCTTTTCAATCTGTTTGGTTCAGGGTTTTTTGTTATGTACACCTTCCAATTAGATTCTAAGGAAGGACTAAGGTAAATATACTCTACAGATAGTCTAACATCAATTGTTGCAGTAATTGTGCCACAGAAAATTTCCTTTCTTTATTTTCAATTTTCACTAATTTATCTGAAAATTCAGTTTTGGATCTTTGTATTTCCATGTGAAGATCCAAATTTATTTTAGCAGCAATATGGTACTATAAAAAATGAAGAAAAGACTGTTTGTTAAGCTATTCATATTTCGCAGTTAGAAAGAGAGCAGCCTTAGTTTTTCAGTCATCTCAATATGAAATTGAGTGTTTCTTTTCAAAGGAAGTCCTCCTAACTTACAGTTAAAAGAAAATTCGTTCTCATTTATCTCGTTTTTATTGTATCAGCAGTTCTGTAGTAATACAGTTCAGTCACTGATATTTAAATTACTTTTTGAGTTCCCAGGGAAATACCATCAATGTCACAAAATGATATATGTTTTTTTCCATAAAAAGACTAGGTAATGGTGTTTCTTAAGAAACTCTGCCTAGATAGATTGCAAAGAAAAAACTATGTTTTCATTAATCTTTTCCCTACTTTAGTAGCCTATCACATTAGAGAAAATTCTGGTTATCTCTAGCACACCTTTTTTACATATGCAGTCTACCTTGGAAACACAATTTTGTATTTAGCTGTTAAATGAGGTATGATAAATTCCTGATACAACTGTGTCTTTCATTTCAGATTGCAATGGGCCAAGGCCAAGCAGACCTGGCTATTCAAACTTTAAAAGAATGTGCACGCAATGGAGAATGGCTGTGTTTAAAGAACCTGCATCTTGTTACATCTTGGCTTCCTGTATTGGAAAAGGTGAGAGTACCTAGAGAAGAATGTATTGGAAACTAGACAAAATTAGTATGCAAGATTTCTGAAGCAGTTCAGGCATTTCCATGGTGATGTTTAAAATTACAACAATTTAAATAAATAAATTCTTGCAGTTTTCTCAGTCATGAATAAGGTGAAATGCTTCAGATCTAAGCAGCTCCTTCCTTTGTGTGAGTGCTTTAATTGTCATACAATGTAGAGTAGTTCTGCCACAATGAGTGAACAAATGATTCTGTTAGAACTTCTGGTACTTTATGGGATACTGCCCATGTTTGCTGAACTCTGAATCTATGTATGCTTAAATTTATTCTTTTTTTTTTTTCCCAGGACTTTCTTTTTATTAGTTCTTTTATGTTAAGTGTAGCTTGTGTCTGAGTCACCAAGAGGTTTTTGCTAATTTGAAATTAAGATGTCTAATGTTTTATAGAAACACACTCTTACTTACGGCATGTAAAATCATTAACTTGCTAACTAGATCAAAGTGACTTTACGTGTATATCACTGTGAAATCCACAAAACAAACAAACTCCAAAAAAGAAAGGTGGGGAATTCCTGTCAACAGTTACTACAGTCTTAATTTTCCAGTTTCTAATGATTGTCTGTAAAGTGTACTCCATGCACATGAGCTTGGAGTCTATCTTCTGTCTGTCTAACAATGACCATGTGGCATACATGTGCCTTTTTAACATTCGTATAATCCTTTTTGAAAAAAGGGATATGTGTCATCTAGTCTGAATATGATAGTAACAGTAAGGAAGTGTTTGTAAGCCTCTTACTAATTATAAAATTTCAGATCTTGTAAGTATTTAAATATGGATATGTATCAGAAGTTTCTTAATTCTTTCCACAAGAACATAATACTGAAGGTGTTGAACTTCCTGCTGAACTTAATATAGACTGAGATTTGCTCATGTTTGACTCAGCACATCCCCTTGTCTGTTTTGCATACCATTAGCAAGCGTGAGGCTATATAATTCATATGTTTGAACATCCTTTTAAGAGAGACCTGCCTATTTATAGTTCAATTCCATCCAGGTACTTAAATTTAGTTCTCGCAGTCTTTCCATTTGAGCGGATGAAATATGTCTTCTGACACACTGGTCAATGTGAACTTTATCAATATGAAGATTATAGCTTCACAGCTTACAACTGACTGCCCTTAGCTGTCTTCTAGCCAAACTCAATGTATCAGAGGATGCGTGCTGCAGATGATTGCATTTGAACCAGCATGTAAATTCCCTTGTTTTCTTTTCTTAAATCTCCTGCTTCCAAGGCTGTGGATCATTTTCATATCTTAGTTTGTCTCCGATAACATCCTCATAGACAAGCTTATGAAATATGGACTCAATTGTACCACAGGGAGGTAGATTGAAAACTGGGTGAACTGCAGAGCTCAAAGGGTTGTTGTCAGCAACAAAAAATCCAGCTGGAGGCCAGTCATCAGTGGTGTGCTCCAGGGGTTGATACTGTGGCCAACATTGTTTAACATCTTAATTAATGATGTGAATAATGGGACGGAGTATTTCCTCAGCAAGTACAGATGATACAAAACTGGGAGGAATGATTGATACAACAGATGGGCGTGCTTTCATTCAGTAGGACCTCAATAGACTGGAGATGTAGGCTGACAGGAACATTGTGAAGTTCAGCAAAGGGAAATGCCAGGTGCTTCCCCTGGGGAGGAATAACCTCAGGCACCCAGACAGTCTGGGGGCTAACTGGCTGAAAAGCAGCTTGGCAGAAAAGACTTGGGCGTCCTGGTGGTTAAGAAGCTGACTATGAGCCAGCAACGTGCCCTTGCGGCAAAGACCATTGGCCTCTTGGGCTGCTTTAGGCAGAGCATTGCCAGCAGGTCAAGGGAGGTGATCCTTCCCCTCTGGTCAGCCCTGTTGAGACACATCTGGAGTGCTGTGTCCAGTTCTGGGCTCCCCAGTACAAGAGAGGCATGGGCATACTGGAGCTAGTCCAGTAAAGGGCCACAAAGGTGATGAAGGGACTGGAGCACGTGTCGTATAAGGAGAGACTGAGAGAACTGGGATTGTTCAGCCTGGAAAAGAGAAGCCTTGGGGGCAATCTTATTATTTATTGTGTATCGGCTGATGGGAAGGAGTAAAGGAGACAGAGCCAGGCTCTTCACAGTGGTGTCCCGTGACAGAACAAGAGGCCATGGGCACAAACTGAAATACAGGAAATGTCATTTAAACATAAGACAAAACTTTTTTACTGTGAGGATGGTCAAACAGCGGAACAGGTTGCCCAGAGAGGCTGTGGAGTCTCCATCCTTGGAGATACTGAAAACCTGACTGGATACAGTTCTGGGCAACCTGCTGTAGTTGACACTGCTTTGATCAGGGGGTTGGACTAGACAGTCTCCAGAGGTTCCTTCCAACTTCAACAGTTCTGTGTTTTTAGGTACCAGATATAGTTGTCATTTTGCCTAAAGAGCAGAATGATTCATGGGTTAACAGAATTTTCTTCTTTACTGAAAGCACAGAAAAAAAAATTATTATGATTATGTTTTAGAGATTATCAAAATGAATGGATTGAGAGAAAATCTGTTAGAGTTTTTTTGAGCTATGTTTCTTCCAAGACACATAAAAGAAAACTGTTGCCGTTGTTCTCAGTCAGTTGTCAAACAACTTTGGTAGCTTCAGTGAAAAATATGTCTGTTTCAGATGCAGGTAAAGCACCAGCAGTATGTTTTCATACATTCAGTACTTACATATTTTTTGTGAAGCCCTTGTATTTGAAATAGCATTTGACAATATATGTTCTCTTAGAACTCCATTTTCATATCTTCAGTTTTCTGTGAATCATGATATGTGAAGTGTGCATACAACAACCACTTGAAGAAAAAGAAATTAATTTAGCTATACAGTTGTTGAAAGTCATCGAGATCTGCTATTGATATGCAGCCCACATTCCAAGCCTTCGTCTTTTGAGCCTTCTGGTGTTTTTTTACTTAAAAGAAGTCAAGAACTGCGATATATTTTTGTGCTCTGAATTGAGGATCTGGGAGGGAGTTGCAAATATTTTGACAAGGCTAGGATGAACTTTGAACTTGAGCATGATGGGCATATAGAATGTGTGGAGACAAGACATCTTGAACAATAGTCTTTTGAATAACCTCACTTGTAAAAACAGCTAAAGAATTTTTAGACAAGCCTAACTTTCTAATTTAGGATATTATAATTTTGTAAATACTGTTTTGTATATTAAAAAAAAAAACAAAACCTACTTCAATATATAACATCTCTTTAATAGGAACTGAATACATTACAGCCTCAATCAAACTTCCGCCTTTGGCTTACTACTGAAGTTCATCCAAAATTTACTCCGATTTTGCTTCAGTCAAGTCTGAAAATAACTTACGAAGTAAGATCTGTTTGGAAAGCTTTTATTCCATGTTTTCAAAGAATGAACTTTGATGTATAGTAAACTATATGTTTAGATAGAATAAAGTTTGGATAATGTGGACTGTTTTCATAGCTGGTTTTGCCTTGTATTTCAATTAGATGTAATACAAAAAATGCTATGAATTTACCTTGAAAAAGATTTTTAATGATCATTTATAATGTATATGTGGAAATTTGCAGAAGCTGTGCTTTAAAAGGAAGGTTTGTAAAATTTCTTTCCAGATATTTTTTCCAATTGAAAGTCTGAACTGAAAGTACTCGTTTGGTTTTGTGCTCCAAATTCTTTTGTGCATTTAATCAGTGTTTCTTAAAAGCAAAAACCTACACAGGTGTTGGGACATGGATGAAAAACAAGGAATTCCTCCTTCTTGATGAATGTGCTCATCTGAAGATCACAGAATCACACTTTCTCTTCCTTATTTTTCTTTTTGGCCCCATAGCTTTATATTCACTGGACCCTTTTAACAAAAATGGCTCTCTTCCCATACAGCAGAATATACAGTTAAAGGCCTTTACTAAAAATTGAGAGCTTTTCTTTCAGAATGGATCAACCTAAGGGATAACTGGGACCATGCTCATCCAACTTGTGGGAATGTGCTCTAATCATTTATGCACTTATGCATTAATGTCCATTATGGAAATCATGGATAGGGGTGCTACTAACTCTTCCATTGGTTATGGAGTGTGGAGATTTTGCCTACAGTTAAACCAAGAAGCTCTGACCTTTTAGAGTCCAATGTTGCTGACTTTCAGGAAGCCAAAATTGTTACACTTTTATATTGACTGCAGGTATTTTTAAACTTCTGGGGTACCTTCTGGCTTATATTGAGGTCTTCAGTGGTACAGAAACTACAGGACTGTATAGGATTGTCACATTTCTTTTCATCTAGCTTCTTGAAGTTACTGATCCCACTATCTTTGGAATAATTGGAACTTCGCACTGATGCAATGTTCTAAATCCTTTTGTTACCTTTTTTATCATTTATAGTAAATATCGTGTTACCACAAAAGGGCAATGATTGCCAATGACTTGACTAATACTATTTTATTATTATATGGTTGTGGTACGTTCCTTAACTGTTACCAATCAAGACATAGATAGTTTAAAAGAAAATCATCAATTGACTACAATATTTTGCTATTATTTGCCACAACTGTGCATATGCAACATATGCAACTGTGGTAATCTTATGGAAACATTAACAAATATTATTTTTCAAAAGAAAGAAAGAACATTCTTATAAATATGAAAATGTGATTTAAATCTCTTTAAAATTTATGTTTGCCTTCACACTTGCAAATAATTTGAAAATGGCTGGGTATCTAATCGGTTGTTTTTACTTTTAAGCACTGTAATCTTTGTTATTATATACACTTTAACTGCAGTTATTTCTACTGATTGTGAACACTACCTAACACTAAATCAGAGAACTGGCATTTTATCATACATATATACCATATCTATATGCTAACAAACAGAGTGTGGTGATGGCATAAGGCGAGTTGGCTCTGATCACAGAAATGATAATTGGTACTTGAGCTTGTAAAATCAGAAGAAAGTTCTTGTTCTTAAATTCAGAAAATTGAATTTACTTTTAAGCTTACATATTTTGATAGAGTAGTATTCTTTCACTAAGTTCTTTTAGTGTAGTTCAGTCCTCCTATCAGTTGGTCCTGCTTACAATTTCAGTATGTTTAAGTTGTTTAAGCTGTTTTCAGTATAAGATCATTCTGTTGTTAGGCCATTTATTACAAGCAGATTTTTTTCTTGTTAAATTTTGTTTTATTAAGTACTGTTTGTCATTTCATTAAGTTATAAATTGTAAGTTAGAATTTAAGAAAATAGTGCATAGAAGTATCAGGTTTTCTGTCTAGAACAATGTTTTCCCTTCCAATGCAGGCACCTCCGGGCCTCAAAAAGAATCTCTTGCGAACCTATGAATCTTGGACACCAGAGCAAATTAATAAAAAGGGAAATTTGTCTCGAGCACATTCTCTCTTTTGTTTAGCATGGTTTCATGCTGTATGCCAAGAAAGAAGAAATTATATACCTCAGGTAATAATTTTTTTTGCTACCTTTTTAAAAATTTACCCCATTTATTAGCTTTTATACTTGGAAGTATTTTTCATCAGGTATATGTTAGATCATGTTCAGAGATGAGTAAAACTTGGATACTTCTGGTGCCTGCCTTCATTATTGTCTCCGAATTCATTGCAAAATAAGATCTTGGTAGCCTAAATTCCTATCCCCTTGAAAATTGCTACTGCCTGGATGGGGTTATTTTGTGATTTGTGTACTAACTGACACTGATGCAGGAGTGAGGTCCCATGGAAAAGATTATGTGAATCCTGTTTGCTTGGGACAGGAAAAAAAGTTTTGGAAACTTACACGGTTGAATGGAAGATGTGAGAAAAGAGACACTTTGGTGGGAAGGAGGAGATGATACTGTCTACTCTTTCTGCACACAAACCCTGTTCAAGGAGAAGGAAGAACAAGGGAATTTACTCACTTGTTGCGAGGATTATAATGGTTTTCAGACTGTGATGTGTTTTTTCCTTAGATAAATTTTTGTTTAAAGCAAACATTTCTTTCTGGCTGCAGATGCTTAAATTAAACAGAACAAAACCCTAACCAACAAACTGTTCTATGTCTTGTTTATTTTATTTAGAATAGTGGTGAAATTAACCTGTCATCTTAAAGATCTGATCTGACAGAGCCTGGAATGTTTGAGAGTTTTTTATTCATTCTGAGTTTGTGATTTAGAAGGTTGTCTGCCTCTTGTAGTAACAGACTTTGAATATGGTGTTCAAGAAGTAGAATAGGTGAAAATATTTAAAGTACTGATCTGATAGATGAACTCTCATTTGGCTTTGTTCAATTTCACGTTCATTTACGACCAGCTTTCCAAGTGACACAAGACAGGATTACTGCTTTTTCCTTAATTCCACTGTAGCTGTGTTTGTCTCGTGCAGACTTAGTGATGATTTTATATTTTGCTTCAAGATTACCAGTTTCTAACTGGTACAGTTAGAATGCTACAGGCTTGGGGAAGAGTGGCTGGAAAGCTGCCTGGCAGAAAAGGACCTGGGGGTG